TTCTGGTACAAAAAGCTTGTTTTTTATTTGAACCAAACCCCTCCTACCCTATCGCGACCCGAAACCCGACAATTTCAGGTTTACTCGACTAAAAAATACGGATAACCCGCGAGTAATCCGACTCTACGAATTCCTACTTAATTCCAAAATTAATCTAATAGCCTGAACTACACTAATCCTGCAGCGCGTAGGCCGTATAGATGAGAGGTAATGTGTGTTGTCTTCTCCTGTCTGTCTGATCCCATAAAATCTTTTGTCTGTTTTGTGTTTTGTCAAACGTTGCATATGTCACTGCCCAATGACGCGTAGTAGTTATTACGTGTAATTGTAATTGCTTTGACTTTTTCTTAATCCTTGGGATTAGCCCACAAAATATTTTTTTTTTACTACATCATTAAACACACACTAATTATTATTTTCCCTTTTCTTTCGCCACCGGACAAGGATTCCAAGCGAGGCACGAATCACACACACACGTAGACTTTCTGTCTGCGCCAACGCAGCTCTCGTCAGTCGAAAGGTAAATTTATGCTTTGATCTGCAAAACATACGAAAAGTGGCACGTAAACTTTTTGTCTGTGTCAAGTCAATTCTCATCAGTCGGAAGGTAAATTTATGTTTTGATCTGCAAAACACACGAAAAGTGGCACGTAGACTTTCTGTTTGTGCCAAGTCAGCTCTCGTCAGTCGGAAGGTAAATTTATGTTTTGATCTGTGAAATGTACGAAAATTGGCACGTAGACTTTCTGTTTGTGCCAAGTCAGCTCTCGCTCGTCAGTCGGAAGATAAATTTATGCTTTGGTCTGCAAAACATACGAAAAGTAGCACGTAGACTTTCTGTCTGTGTCAAGTCAGCTCTCGTCAGTCGGAAGATAAATTTATGCTTTGATCTGCAAAACATACGAAAAGTAGCACGTAGACTTTCTGTCTGTGCCAAGTCAGCTCTCGCTCGTCAGTCGGAAGATAAATTTATGCTTTGGTCTGCAAAACATACGAAAAGTAGCACGTAGACTTTCTATCTGTGCCAAGTCAACTCTCGTCAGTCGGAAGATAAATTTATGCTTTGATCTGCAAAACATACGAAAAAGTAGCACGTAGACTTTCTGTCTGTGCCAAGTCAGCTCTCGTTAGTCGGAAGGTAAGTTTATGCTTTGATCTGCAAAACATACGAAAAGTGGCCGATTTAAACGCAAATAGCAAAAGATGGTGATTAAAAGTGAGTGGATCTTTATTTATTTATTATTATTTTTATATGAAAATATAGAAATTTTATTAAATTCAATATAATATTTAAAAGAAGAAAGGGACCAAGCCTTTAAAAATCTACTTAGGGACCACCTTATCCCTCTTCATTAAACCACTGAATTTACACTATCTTTACCCTATCCTAATTTTCTGAATCCCCTCTCTGTGACAAACTGCAAGGCCATTTTGCCAGCTCTGATGTCCATTAATTCAATTTATGTGAAACTGTGAAATACAAAAGCCTAGCTAAAGAAATAAAAAAAAATATATATAAAATAAAAAAATGGTCTCTTACATGAGTACTTACCATTTTAGCTTTCCACATTGCTTCTATAACAGTGTCTACATATAAATATGGCAACATCAAATAGCTCGGCAGATCATTCGATCAAGAAAACCGATGGTCGGATTTGTGGGCGAAACATGTAAGTCGGGAGAGAGAGAGAAGAGAGCTTAGGAGTCGATTGGTCAACAGCTCTCGTCAGAATAGAAACTTTTCAAAAAATCGTTACAGTTTTTGATTTGAGCGTCCGAGTGTCTGTATTAAGAAGCACAACATTTTTTTTTTATATAATATAGGTGTCAAGCTTTAGATATATAGTAACTTTGGTGTTCATCTTCACATGTACCCATTTTGTTGGGTCACATCTTAATAATGACAAACAATTTACCAGACAATAGATGCAAATCACAGTTGTCACTTGAGTGAGATGTGTTGAAACAAAATCTGCAATTTTTCTGAGCTTGCAAATTTATTTCTTTGCTTTCATCATTAATAATATTGTCTGTGGTACATATGTGGATTTTGTATCCTATTCTATTCCCCTTTTGTCTGCTTAAAATTTTTTTTTTGTTTCTTGTTCTTAATCTCACTACCAACTTGATTTTTTTTTTGGAGATTATACGGTGTCGTTGCGGAACTATTCTATCGGAGTTTGTAACCGTTAGATCAACTATTCACGATGGTTATATAGTGATCTAACGGTTACAAATCCAGACGGAATGATTCGGTAACGAGACTGTAGCATTTCCCAATATTATTACCAATTCACCATAATTAAGAAACCCTGTTTTACTTATAATTCTCTTGAAACTTTGGACAGTGCAGACCGGAAAAAATATAAGTGAAAATAGCTACTTTCAACACCAAAACAGCCATAAATTAAGAACTTGTGCCATTACATCTTGAAAAATAAGAAACAATAACAATAGAATTAACAATAACATCCAAATATTGCAAACACTACTACAAATTGCCATTAAAATAAACTTCCAAACTCTCTCACATTGTTCTATCCTAGAGAGATTCTTCCTCCTCTGGTCGAAAACTCTGAACAACTCCCGACCCTGATCCCGACCCGTTCGATGTGGTCCCCACATTCTTTCGACTTTCGATCTGTTGTTCTGTTAGAATCGGCTGCCCGAACAGAACAAAAACAGGCGGTGGCTCTCTCTTCATCAAACTCTCGGTAAAAAGAACATCATTCGTCTTAGGAATCCTTATGAGACCATCAAACGGGTCGTCGTGTGACGAAGGTTGTATGAACTTGACATGCCTGGCTCCCTGTATGTCGGGAGAACACAAATTGGTGCTAAAAAAAGGTTTCGTCATTTGGAATTCTCGGCCGAAGGGATTAAATTCCGAGTCGTGGTGACGTGGCCGTTTTCGCGGTGGGCCCAAGGGGGAGAGGTTGATCGACGAGACTCCCGATATCAGCTCGACTGACCACGGGTTAACTCGCCTAACGTTGTGGAGTAAGTCGGGCTCATCCCACAATACCTTTCGCGAAAA